TATTCGCAAATAAAAGTAGTTCATGGAACACACAAATATTTCTCACACGCAAATAATAGTTGGTTTACAGTAAGTGCATGCTTAAATAAAAATATCTTAAATGGTTTCTTTAAAAGTAAGCAAATACAAATTAAAACAATAAGGGAGGTCACGGGAGTGCATGGTCAAAAGTAATACCATGCAAAATCATTGGAAAATACATTCTGAACAACTAATTCTAAATTTTCAAAACTGAATTAAATGCCATGCAAAATGTAGCTTAATTTGGCTACCTTCCCCTTAAATCACTATATAAAAAAGAACTTCTTTTCTTTTTCTGAAATAAAATTTATCAGATGGTGAATGATGCAAAATATGCAAAATCATAACTTTTACACAGACACAAACATTTACCTCAACACTTCAAGCTATATTATGCACTGGGCAAAGTAATTTACCTTCGGAGGATCTTTTCTCAGATTAGGCTCCAGATTCACAGAACGTTGATCAAGCGAGGAACACATTCCACAAATAAAACTAGACACTCCTATACACCCATAGTGAAAGAACTTGTCACATTTCTCACATCCTATCTGCAAGAGATTTTTTGATCATTAAAGAATTTAAAATAAGTCTAGATTAACATTACCAAGTGAAACATTTATGTGTATATAAAGGAATTACATTTCAGAACAAAAATCATACCCAATCCTCATCTTGTCTTGCTTCTCTATGAAGACTGCAAGCTCGGCAGTGCTCAAACAAGGGCTCTGCAAATCAAATTATTGTCTTTAAACCTTCTTCAAATATTTTTCAGAACCCTTCTTTAGATATTTTAGTGTGTGAACCCATAAGGGATGACAATGGGGTCCAATCCATGCCTATAGGAGGGGGGGGGGCAAAAAAATTATTCATAAAAGATCTATAACAGATTTAAAGATTTAATACAAAAATGACTTTGCTGCTACAGTAGCTTCCCCATTTTTATTAGAAAAATGGATCCTGGTAAGTATAGCTATACACATATATTTACATTTGCTGATGTCTTTCCTTATATGACAATACAAATTAAATTGACATTTAATTTTCAATGACATTTGGAAAATCTAGATTGTGACGTCATATGACGTCGTTATGTTGAATTTCAATAACAAAGTCTAAATAGTGCATTTTTCTTTGTAATGTGGATAGAAATAAAAATATAAATATAAGAAATAAAATATCCGGTATCATATTTTAGAGTGTCATCGAGATATGACATGAAGTCGGTATGTGATCACGTGACCGACTTCATGTCATATCCCAATGACACTCTAAAAATATTTTATTTCTTAAGTACATGCATGAACAAGGAAGCAAACCTCTTATGAAAAACAAGATGTATTTGTGAAACGCTGATGGCCCCCATGGCAGCATATGGCAAGGGTTGAATTCTCTCAAATGCATGTCAAACTACAAATGTCGAGGTCAAAAGTATTTGCACTCAAAAGGTTGTCTTGTTACAAGGAATACTCCTTGAAGATTTTTTTTTACTACTTGGTCAAACTCTTAGGTCAAGGTCAAAAATATTTCTACTAGTTGAAAGGTCTTATCACAATGAATATCAATGTGAAGGATGAAAGGCCTATAGCTTCAACTTGTTAAGAGCCATTCTCTGTAATGATTTGACATTTTATATAGGATCTGTGGCACGCATAGTCTCAGAATTTCTCCAAACTCTCTATGATAAAAGTCATTGATACCCTAAACTGAAATCAGGCAAAAATTGGTTGCTATGCTTTATAGTTACCATGGCAACATGTCTTAAAGGTCGAAAAATGGCATTTTTTAACATGTTTGGAGCCCCATAGTTAACATTTGCGGCAAAGCAAACAATTGGCAATGACTCTTTCCAAAAGTTGAAGGTCAGATGTCTCAAATGCATAATAAACCTGTTTGGTAAATCAACTATTACATACGTTACTATGGTAACAATTTATTCAAAAGTAAAAATAATATTCATTGAATTTTATAAAGTCATACACGTAAAAATAAAAAGCAATTATAGGATGAAATGTAACCAAATGATAGAAAAAAAGAGCCTTGATACATATATCAAGAACAAAATATGATATTTCATTTTGGTTGGCAATGGTTGCCAAGGTTTTTATACCACAGAGAGCCTTCAAAATAGCACTCTGTATGTTTAAATCTGATCCTATCTTTTAAAAAAAGCACATTTCCTCATAACTAATGATCAATTTTATAAGATGTTGGTGTGCTCCAAGTTTTCCCATTTGAAAAAATTCAGATTAGATTCTTTAAATAGAGCGTTGCTGTGGAAATAAGCAGAAAAAATATGCTTAAAAACCCGAAAAATATTTTCTTTCCTTGGATACGTACCCTTAAATGTAGATTCCCAAAACTTTTATGATTGATATTTATTAACAGCTAACTTGAATTTTAATTTTGACTATCATCCAATCTCTAAGTGGATGCAAGAAGTTGGCACACAGGGTTTAATATTGATATAAAGTTCACAAAATCGAACATTTTCCCTTCTTGGTAACCATAGCAACAGTGTTGTTTTATTCATCAAATTTTATCAATATATGATATTCAACTTCATTTCTAACAGATAAATACTATTCAAGCTGAGTCCTTTAATTTGTTTCTTGATTAAATGGCAATTTAATTCTTAATGCAGCGAAAAATAATTCACTTTTAAACAATGGTACTTTGTTTCCATGGTAACACTGCAAAGTAGCAATTATACCCAATTTTTCTTACGGTGTTGGTGTTGCAAGGTCCTAAGGATGCATATTTGCCAGCCTTGAATTTTCATGTTTTTCCTCAAGACAGTAGCATTAACCCAAACTTAGTTAGTGGTTTTGCATGGTTACACTGTGTTACCATGGCAACCATAAAAGTTATTTATAGAATAATATTGCTTATACTTATATACTTAAGGTCAAACATTTTCATTGTTTTTCTTAAGTCGTTGATTGAGTTTGAGCATGTAACACCTACCATTAGTTAAATACGGATTGTTTTTCAGCATATTTCAGCCTTTTAAATGTATTCCAAATGTACCCTTGGTTACCACTTACTTAGAGATATATTCTAAACAGTTTCTTTACAGTATAAGTAATATCAAAGTGTCATGTTGTTGTGAGAATGGTTTGTTTGCTTTTTCTAGTTTTTATTAAGCCACAGTCAAGATTTAAAGTGGCTGAAAATCTCCATTTTTCAAACTTTTCCGGCTGTTGCCATAGCAACCGAGACACATAGCAACGAAATTTTGTTTGATATTTGTTTCTGGTGTCAAGTACTAAGCATTGGTGAAGTTTCATCAAAATCGGTGACCATGCGTGGCTATTAAAACTTTTGGCCAAGGTTACAGTGTGGTATTTTTGGTAAAAGTAGGTCTAACACCAAGTTCAAGTTGACAACAGACAGACAGAGAGACAAACATACAAACTGGACAAAACAATATACTTTCGGAATCTTTTGATCCGAGGACATAAAATTTTTTTTTTTCAAAATATTCATTGTTTTTGTCTTTGTTGTTGTTTTCACTATTTCCTTAATCATTTTGTTTTGTAAATTTTTTTGCGCTTTGCATAAAATTGGAGCTCAATTTTTATTTTCTTTAAAGGCTGTGAACCTCCCTCCCCTTCAGGTTATAAAATATTTCTGGATTTACATAGGAGGTTCTATCATACAGTTACCTGTGGCTTGCAAAAGCTGGTTCCCAATTCCTTGTCTAATTTGATACAGATTATCTGGTCGACAACTAAATGTTAGAGGCAAATCAGATATGACTAGCTCGGCAAACTAAAATGCAAAATTTAACAGCAAATATATTATAATAGGGTAATAATTAAGTAATTTCCAAAAAATCAAATATTGATTGCAGGGAGTAAAACATATCAGGGTTTTTTTCATTCAATAAATACTTCACCATGCAGATTAAGATAGGCATTGAGAGTTTAGATCTAGTCAATATTTCTCACCTTTACAACATACACTCCACAGGAATTAGAATCATACTGCTTTGTATGTTTTGTTGTTTCCACTTTCCAGCCATCCTCTGAAATTTCATTTACTTTTCTTAGGAGGCAAAATTTTCACAAATTTCAGTTCTGATTTATATAATCTCTACAATTACTAATACATATGCAAGAATGACATTTTCAATATTGAGCACATTGTCTAGTTATGCTAGACAATGAGCTCTCAATAAAAAAAAATAACAGTGTTGCAATCTTAAAATTATATTTACCTCCATTTATCTCCAATATCTTTCATAGTTCTCTTTAATTCACCAAGTGGATTAATGTAAACCAGTTTCTTTGTACTTGGGTACACCACCTGAATGTGGAAAGACAAATAAATGCAGAGGTATTTAACTGTATTAGATTAGGATTTTATGAGAATTTCTAATTTAAATTGTAGGTGGGGAGGTTTGGTCACTGTCCTCAGACATAGCATCAATATGAATGATCTTGCAAAAGCACAGCATATCTTGAAAGTAATTTAAAATCAAATCCTTTACCTTACACATGTATATGAAATATACAAGAACTAAATGTCCAATTTTAATAGAGTTACTCATAGATCAAGTTTAAATTGAGATTTAATAGTTTTAAAAAACTAGTATACAAACTATAAGTGTCCAGTGACTGTTGTTTTCATTGACAGCAGCAAGAATCATATCGTAACTGGAGAATTTTGTCTGCAAGTCCAAAATGAAAAATATTAATTGATTATCATTTCAAAGTAAAAGCTTAAATATTAAGGTCAATTACCTATAAAGTTTCTTAATAATACTCAATGTTTTCATTAAGAGAGAGATAGAGAGAGAGTGAGAGAGAGAGATAGAGATAGAGAGAGAGAGAGTGTGAAAGTTACCTGTGTCATGAACCCATGAAAATTTTCTGATATTCCTTGAAATATGTGTGTTGCAACTGATGAATCAATGGCCAGAAGCTTCTTATTCTGTGATATTATTCCAAGTAGGCAAAATTTAAAATATGAAAACAATAAATAATTAATACAGTGTATATCAAACAAATTCTAGATACTACTATATAAAAAAGGGATTTATAAACTATAAAATATATTAACATAAATCATAGCTATAAATTCTAACGATTTACCTTCTTTGTCTGTGTTAGAAGATACAAGTATGCATCTATTACCTAAAAATATTTACATTTGCAAATGTTTTCCTTTATATAACACTACTGAAGGCAAGTGTTTTTATAACTGTGTAAATACAGGTATGGGGTCAAGAGGTCATAGATGTGCGTTTGGATAAACGTTCGACGTAATTTCTCTGTGACGTCATAAAGGGTCGACGCGCGTTTAGTGGATTACATACATGCCGTTGGGTTTGAAAAATTAAGGCATTTCACACGTTAAAAGTAACAATCAGGCAAATATAAAGTATGAATAAGTCACAAATGTAAATATAAGTAATAAGGTATCATTTTTTGAGTTTTATTGAGATGTAAAACGGGTTGGCACATGATCAAATCTTCCATAAAGCCCTTCGGGCTTTATGGGATTTGATCACGTGACCAACCCGTTTTACATCTCAATAAAACTCAAAAAATGATACCTTATTTCTTAAATACATTTTGTGCATTATACAATTGTTTTAGTAAAATTTTATCTAATCAGAAAAAGACAGTAAACTCAAATATAAAAAAAAATATACCTCATCAGATAGAGAAGTCTTTAAATACCCAATGGAGGTGTCTGTGACTTTAAAACTACCAATTCTTGCAACTAAACAATCTGACGGTTTGATCCTCCACAGTGTGTCTACATCAATGACTGGACATTCTGTGTTTTGATAGGCCATGCTTTGTTTGGTAACAACGGTGTGGTTCTCATGGTTCCTATGTTGATTGCTGTGCATGTCATATGTCCCATCAACAATTATGACATCATCCTCTTCTGCAAACTGGACACAATGTTTTTTATTTAATTTCCTGTATTTCTTTCTTACTGGTAGATTCCCTGATTTTCTTTTTAAGGATGGTCTTATACGTTTGTCTGTAGCGTTGAGTGGTAAGCCTGAGTCCTTTTTAATTTTTGATGCTTTAAGTAATTTTAGTTCTCTTATTTTGGTAGATATTTCCTGGAGGTCTAGACGATCATTTATCAAGTACAAGTCAGACTGTATATCTTTCAGTCCACCTAAGGCAGTCTGTAGAAGAACACGAAGTGGTGTTTTGGGTATATCTGGCTGTTTTGGGCATGTCTTTTCCGGACTTTTTTCCTGTGATGTGTCTTGATTTAGTGGACTATTTGTGTTGGTTATATCATGTTGCAGAGCTGGTATATCGTCTTGCAGAGCTGGTATATGATCTTGCAGAGCTGGTATATCATCTTGCAGAGCTGGTATATCATCTTGCAGAGATGTATTTGGACTGTCAGGAATGCTATCTATGCACTGCTGCATGATGCTTTGGTCCAAAGTAAAATGTGGACAGGTCTTGTATCCATCAGGAAGGTTATCCCAGCTGCATTCTGGTAATGACATCATCACTGCAAGCATGTGCTTACATGGCAAATGATGTCTTGAGTAGTCAAGACAGGTACATGTAGGTTCAGTGTCTGAAAACATCACCCGATATATGTTGTTGGAGTCAACACTATGCACAGCATAAGCCCTGTCTTCAACCTCCTGTATATTTTCTATGGGTATGTTTTGAATTTCAGGAGGAATTCTTTTGATGCAGTGTTCAACAAGCATCCTTGGTTTGTTGTGTAAAAATTTTGGAACACTTGATGAGTACTTCTTGCAAAACTCAAAACTCTGGATATTGTAATTGAGATAACTGCAAAATAAAATAAAACTGTATCATTGCCATACCTTATTTAAAATACATGTACAATGTATACTCTTTTCAACATTTCATCTAACCAGAGAAGTACGGTATAGCCGGTTATTTTAGCGGGATGCTAATTTTGACTTATTTTGGCATTTTGAGGGTAGCCTGCTAAAATTTTAATTGCTAGAATAGTAAGTTATCTTCTAAGTGTTCATCTGCAAAGAGCTGAAACTCTGTGTCCACTAAAATAAATTATGCCAAAATTAATAGCATACCTTTGAGCAAGTATAAAACACCAAATTTTACACCCGCCAAGAAAAATCACTGTACGGTATGTACCTGGTATATTAAATTCACCTTGCATGTACTGCATGCATGTACTATAGTTCAAACCCATATAATCTTTCAAATTTTGCAACTACATTGTATGTCACATTAAATCCCCATTCAAAATGTTTCTTTTTTGTGTTGTTTTAATGCTTTTTGTTTCTTTTTTGTGTGTTTGTTTTATTGAATTTTATTGGTGCGTTTGTCTGTGAATGTCGGAATGAAAAAGAGAAATATAAGAATTAAATACCTCCTATAACTGTCTGGTAAGAAATTGGAGACCAATGTCGCAATCATGGTACAAAGACTACCTTCACTGTAGTGAGACAGGTAGCCTCTTTTGAACTCCTGATGTTTTCTCTCTAAGCCATTTGTTGTTGACATTCTTATGTTGTAAGTCTTTTCCCTGAAGGTTTTAACCCATCTCTGAAAAGAAAAAAAATCAGTGTTAAATAAAAAAAAATTTATGTTAAGAAAAAATAATGAAAACTAGAGAATCATTGCATTTTTAGCTCACCTCAACGAAGTTGGGGGAGCTTATGTAATACCCTCGGCGTCGGCGTCGGTGTCGGCGTCGGTGTCGGTGTCGGCGTCGGCGTCGGCGTCCCGGGTTAAGGTTAAGTTTTTTGGAGCAGTTTTCTTTTTAAGTACTTCTATGTCCTATATTGATTAGACATGCATGGAAGATGGTTCTAGTGTGTTTCATTGTACCAGTCAAAGTTTCAGATGCTGCAATTTTAGCAAAGGAATGACCAGGTTAATGTTTTTGGAGCAGGTTAACATTTTTGGTGCAGTTTTTGGTGTAGGTTTCATTTCCAAGTAACTATAAGCCCTATGTTAACCAAACTTGCATGGATGATACATCTAAGGATGCATACTACCGGGCTTGCTTCGGATGCTGAATCTGACCTACTTTTTCCGGTTGAGTGAACAGGTTAAAGTTTTTTGGTGCAGGTTTCATTTCCAACTATCTGTAAGTCCTATGTTGACCAAACTTGCATGGATGATACATCTAAGGATGCATACTACCGGGCTTGCTTCAGATGCTGATTCTGACCTACATTTTGTGGTTGAATGATCAAGTTAAAGTTTTTGGTGCAGGTTTCATTTCCAAGTACTTATAAGCTCTATATTGACCAAACTTGGCGCATGGATGATACATCTAAGGATGCATACTACAGGGCTTGCTTCGGATGCTGAATCTGACCTACATTTTCCGGTTGAGTGAACAGGTTAAAGTTTTTGGTGCAGGTTTCATTTCCAAGTAACTATAAGCCCTATGTTGACCAAACTTGCATGGATGATACATCTAAGGATGGATACTACTGGGCTTGCTTCGGATGCTGAATCTGACCTACATTTTCCAGTTGAGTGAACAGGTTAAAGTGTTTGGAGCAGGTTTCATTTGCAAGTAACTTTAAGCCCTATGTTGACCAAACTTGCATGGATGATAAATCTAAGGATGCACACTACCGGGCTTGCTTCGGATGCTGAATCTGACCTACATTTTCCGGTTGAGTGAACAAGTAAAAGTTTTTGGTGCAGGTTTCATTTCCAAGTAACTATGAGTTCTTTAATGACCAATCTTGCATGGATGATACATCTTAGGATGCATACTACCAGGCTTGCTTCGGATGCTGAATCTGACCTACATTTTGTGGATGAGTGAAAATGTTAGTTTTTGATGTATGTTTCATTTCCAATTAACTATGAGCCTTATAATGTGCAAACTTGCATGGACGATACATCTTAGGATGCACACTAATGGACTTGCTTCGGATGCTGAATTCGATATATATATTTTTCAGATAATAGACCAGGTTAAAGTTATGGTTGCAGGTCTATTACCAAAAAACTTTAAGGCTTTTATAACATTGTATAAACCAAACTTGCACAAATGTTGCATCAAGAGATGAAAACTCAAATTTGCTTTAGATGCTGAATTACATTTTCATGAAGAAGAACTACTTTAAATTTTTTATGTTGGTCTACTTCAAAGTATCAGATCAAAATTGCTTAGATATTTTCATTTTTGGAATGTACATTTTTTGTTGGTTAATTGTGTGACTTTGCCTTATTTAAAGACAACATTCGTTGAGGTGAGCTCTGTAATCTCTGATTACCTATGTTTTGATATTGTCAATGAGTACCTTTTTAATCGTCGAACACTGCGAGTACTAGCTACATGTAAAACATTTCACTAATTTTAGGTACTGTTGATCTAGTGATTACATTGTAATGGATCATATTGTTTCGATTAGTACTCGATCGGAAGATGAAGACAGTAACCAGGTTACTAAATATTGTCCAATTTGACAACATTATTTTTTGTGAATAAAAAATCTTGCTACAGTAAATCTGGGTTATAACAAAGTCACTTAAGGAAATACTTCCCTATACCTGTAATTTGTTATTTCCGCATAAGGAATTCGATAAATTTATTAAGCTGGGGATCCAATTAAAAATAACTTTGCTGTATCCGTGAATTGGCTCTACATCCTCATTTGTACTACACAAGTTTTGCTGTATTTTCTTAATAAGTTTTAACATCCATTATGATTATTTTCATTATAGAGATTATACCTTGAAAAGATTGTATACTACAATTTTCCATTAAATCTTACATGTGAAACTGATAGCCACTGTTTGTCAAACCACTTCCTCAGTTGTTGATTGTTCAGCCAATGAATGCTTTCTTTAAGGCTGTCTACAGCTTCTTTGTATTCTGTTGCAGAATTGGCATTAGCTATTCCTCTCATTCTGTAAAAAGTATTAGCAAAAAACAAATTAATTATATTTAAACAATGCACATTTTCCAATTAATTTTACCATGAATCATTCTCTTTAGAATTTTGCATTACAATATTTAAAAAAAATATATGCAAAAGAGAAAATACACACACAATTCAATATGACACAAATTACTGGGTACAATAATCACATGTGTACACTTACAGTTCAATAACCTCATCCTGATTTGAACCAACACCATGCTTTATCTGTTTCAACCACCGTGTCCATGATTGTTCACGATGAAAAGAACACAGATATACAGTACAGTCTGTTAAAAAAGCAATTCATTAATTAAACATAATATCAGAGGATTTCAGTGATTAAAATATTTGGTTTACAATGTGATAAAATACACTTGTAGAATATCACCATAATATACTGGGGTACATATTTTTTTTTTTTACCTTCAAATACTTCCTCAACTGCTTGGATTTCCCTTTCATCATAGTCAGTCATGAAATAGCTAGGATTCCATCCCGGATTCCATTCCTTAATTTTTTTTAAGCCCTCCTGAATAGACTTTTTTGTTTCGGTCGCAACAACAAAAGAACCACAAATGGAATGCCCAACATTAGTTTGCATACAAATGAAAAAAAGAGGAAGGGCATACTTTGAGGTCTTATATGTGGCATCCATGATGCAAATGTCTCTCCCATACAAGTTTAAGAGACGTTTCTGCCAGGTGGTCTGGTGAACAAACAGAAAGTCCTCTGATGGAATGTCTCCATGGGTAGTGGTATCATATCTGTTTGAAAAATATATCGGTAATACATACAAAGGAAACTTCTAGATCATTTTATCAGAAGCAATTAGGTTTGAAACTTTTGATAAACTTACGATGTCCTAAGGAAGATGTTGTCCTCTGGATTACTCTCTTGCCAGGTCTCCACCAGAGACTCGAGGTTCAGCTGGTCATCTTTGGAAAATCTAGAAGTAATCATTCATTATTGCACTTCAGAATCTGGGATTCAGTTGCTTATATACTAATGGAAATTTTTAATGAATAAAACCTCATAATTAAAGAAATATATATTCTTCTTAAGTCGACCTTTGATGAAAGGTAAATAATCCTACTTACTCTTATCTTAAGTTTACATACGAAATACAAATTAGGAACATTTATAATTCAATACCTCAAGCTGTTAATGGCAATATCCATGTGGTTTTTAATGTCCTTGTCCAATGGAAAAAATCTTCTGTTTGTTCTGGGAATATCCTCATCTGGACATAAGTCATTTTTCACAGAGATTAGTAGGTGTCTCTTCATTTCAGAAACATTTCTCACCCCATCAGCTACAAGTTCTTTTATGCGTGTAACTAATCTCGGATCAATGCACTGAATAAATCCTGCAAACTACAAGGGAAAAATTTTGTACTATTTTTAATAATTCAAAAAGAAAATTTATTCTGAAAATGAAATATTGTAATATAGTATACAAAGTATCTAGAATTCTGGTTACTGATGATTAACACTTACCTCTCCAGTAAGGTGGTTCTTGTGGTCTTTGACACTTGGATATGACACCAAATAAACAAGGGATTTTTGAATTGTGTCTCTGTTTGCAAAAGCTTGTTTGAGATTTCTAGATATCTTCCTTTTCATCAATTTGTTGTTATATGAATCTACCTAAAAAAGACAAATAAATATGATATGTATTTAAAGACCCCAAGCAGTACTATCCAAATTATGTATATATGGAAAAATGAAAAATTTACCTTGAAATCAGGGAATTTCATGATGGCTCTTATTCTTATTGTTGCTGGACAAGCTTGCTTTTTCGACATTTGGATTTACTTGCGTGCTTTTCCTTTATTAGAGTAATCATGGTCTCCAGGTTTCTATCAATGACAATAAATCACTTACAATAAGTTTCTAATCTAGTTTTAATATTGAGCAGTACCAAATATTTGGTGGAAATATTGTATATCTTCTTTTTTAAATTATTTATTAACTTACCTTATAACTGTGCAAGATTAGTACTTAATAAAAATACTGTCCATAAATTTCTTTTAAACATCCAAACACTTAATTTTTTTTTCATAATTAAGCCACTTGTCTATATGCTAATTTTTATTTTTCAAGTAATTTTTTTTTATGAAAGATTACATACAACAATTACATGTATCAGACATACATACTGTAATTACAAGGTTATTTTGCCCCATGTATTTTTTGCCCTTTTACATTTGTGAACAATTTTGCTCCATTTAAAATTCGCCCTGTCATAGTTTTTATAGCAATCATTATGTAATTCCTTGAATTCACCCCTTTTTAAATTTGCCCAAATAAGGGTAAGGCAAAACGGGCAAAAATAAAACAGGATGAAAATTTCCCTGCATACAGTAACTATTAAAGATCTCTCAATCACAAGTTATCATTCTATATTTACAATACCGGGTACATATATTTCAGTTATATTTCTACAGTTCTCTTCAAGGTTTGTTGATTAAAAAAATATTGTCATTTATCATTTACTGTAAACCAACTCTTATTCGGGACGACATTATTTCGCGATTTACCAGGGGTAAACTAGTTGGCGACTTATTTTTCGCGACCTGGCCTTTTTAGGTTCTCTTGTTAATAGACACATAGACTTTAAGAACCTGTTCGTTGCGAGAAATATTGGCGATGACGAGGCTCTCGCGAACTTCGCAAAAATTTCTCGAACGCAAATAAAAGTTGGTTTACAGTAATTAAATAATGCATACAAATTATTACTTTTTATGAAAATTTTAAATGGTTTATTTCTCTGCAATCCTCCAAGAAATGAAATTCCCTTTAAATAAATTATTTTTTCTCCTGCCACAAACATTTCACTTCATCAAAATATATTTCAATCTGATTTTACAAAAAACAAAATCTGTTAGTACTTCAAAAGCAAGACAACTTACACGTCTTTGTTTTTTTTTCTCCTTTGCTCTCCTCTGTCTATCTGGTCCATGATGACATTCTTTTACCATCCATCCTATGTTGATGTAAGGAGTGCCATCAAATTCAACAGAAGGACTAACTGTTTCTTGACAATCTTGCCAAAGAATTTTGTGACCATTTAAAGATGAAACATCTAAAATGTAACATTTAAAAAGTGTGACATAATTTTCAATATAAAAAATGCAAATGCAATTGTAAAACACAAACTTTTTAATCTAAACGTTTGAAAGGGTTCTGGTCACTTACCAGTCCTGTAGTACTCGGTAGACCTTATCAATAGCCTAGGGTTCTGGTCACTCACCTATCTTGTAGTACTCAGTAGACCGTATCAATAGCCTAGAGTTCTGGTCACTTACCTGTAATGTAGTACTCGGTAGACCATATCAATAGCCTAGGGTTCTGGTCACTCACCTATCTTGTAGTACTCAGTAGACTATATCAATAGCCTAGGGTACTGGACTCTTACCTGTCCTGTAGTACTCAATAGACCGTATCAATAGCCTAGGGTACTGATCTCCTACCTGTCCTGTAGTACTCGGAAGACCGTATCAATAGCCTAGGGTTTGGTCTCTTACCTGTCCTGTACTACTCTGTAGACCGTATCAATAGCCTAGGGTACTGGACTCTTACCTGTCTTGTAGTACTCAGTAGATCGTATCAATAGCCTAGGGTTCGGTTACTTACCTGTAATGTAGTACTCAGAAGACCGTATCAATAGCCTAGGGTACTGGACTCTTACCTGTCCTGTAGTACTCGGTAGACCATATCAATAGCCTAGGGTACTGATCTCCTACCTGTCCTGTAGTACTCGGTAGACCGTATCAATAGCCTAGGGTTCGGTCTCTTACCTGTCCTGTAGTACTCGGTAAACCGTATCAATAGCCTAGGGTACTGGACTCTTACCTGTCTTCTAGTACTCAGTAGATCGTATCAATAGCCTAGGGTTCGGTTACTTACCTGTAATGTAGTACTCGGAAGACCGTATCAATAGCCTAGGGCACTAGACCCTTACCTGTCCTGTAGCACTCGGCAGACCATATCAATAGCCTAGGGTTCTGGTCACTTACCTGTAATATAGTACTCGGTAGACCATATCAATAGCCTAGGGTACTGGACTCTTACCTGTCCTGTAGTACTCAGTAGACTATATCAATAGCCTAGGGTACTGGACTCTTACCTGTCCTGTAGTACTCGGTAGACCGTATCAATAGCCTAGGGTACTGGACTTTTACCTGTCTTGTAGTACTCAGTAGATCGTATCAATAGCCTAGGGTTCGGTTACTTACCTGTCCTGTAGTACTTGGTAGACTGTATCAATACCCTAGGGTACTGGACTCTTACCTGTCCTGTAGTACTCGGTAGACCGTATCAATAGCCTAGGATTCAGTCACTTACCTGTAATGTAGTACTCGGTAGACCATATCAGTAGCCTAGGGTATTGGATTCTTGCCTGTCTTGTAGTACTCAGTAGACCGTATCAATAGCCTAGGGTTCGGTCTCTTACCTGTCCTGTAGTACTCGGTAGACCGTATCAATAGTCTAGGGCACTAGACCCTTACCTGTCCTGTAGCACTCGGTAGACCATATCAATAGCCTAGGGTACTGGACTCTTACCTGTCCTGTAGCACTAGGTAGACCGTATCAATAGCCTAGGGTACTGGACTCTTACCTGTCCTGTAGTACTCGGTAGACCGTATCAATAGCCTAGGGCACTAGACCCTTACCTGTCCTGTAGCACTCGGTAGACCGTATCAATAGCCTAGGGTACTGGACTCTTACCTGTCCTGTAGCACTCGGCAGACCGTATCAATAGCCTAGGGTACTGGACTCTTACCTGTCCTGTAGTACTCGGTAGACCGTATCAACAGCCTAGGGTACTGGACTCTTACCTGTCCTGTAGTACTCGGTAGACCGTATCAATAGCCTAGGGTACTTGACACTTACCTGTCCTGTAGTACTCGGTAGACCATATCAATAGCCTAGGGTTCGGTCTCTTACCTGTCCTGTAGTACTCGGTAGACCGTATCAATAGCCTAGGGTACTGGACTTTTACCTGTCTTGTAGTACTCAGTAGATCGTATCAATAGCCTAGGGTTCGGTTACTTACCTGTCCTGTAGTACTCGGTAGACTCTATCAATAGCCTAGGGTACCGGACTCTTACCTGTCCTGTAGTACTCGGTAGACCGTATCAATAGCCTAGGGTTCAGTCACTTACCTGTAATGTAGTACTCGGTGGACTATATCAGTAACCTAGGGTATTGGATTCCTGCCTGTCTTGTAGTACTCAGTAGACTGTATCAATAGCCTAGGGTTCGGTCTCTTACTTGTCCTGTAGTACTTGGTAGACCGTATCAATAGCCTAGGGTACTGGTCTCTTACCTGTCCTCTAGTACTCGGTAGACCGTATCAATAGCCTAGGGTTAGGTCACTTACCTGTCCTGTAGTACTCGGTAGACCGTATCAATAGCCTATGGTACTGGACTCTTACCTGTCTTGTAGTACTCAGTAGACCGTATCAATAGCCTAGGGTACTGATCTCTTACCTGTCCTGTAGTACTCGGTAGACTAAATCAATAGCCTAGGGTTCAGTCACTTACCTGTCCTGTAGTACTCGGTAGACCGTATTAATAGCCTAGGGTATTGGATACTTGCCTGTCTTGTAGTACTCAGTAGACCGTATCAATAGCCTAATGTATTGGACTCTTACCTGTCCTGTAGTACTCGGTAGACCGTATCAATAGCCTAGGGTACTTGACACTTACCTGTCCTGTAGTACTCGGTAGACCATATCAATAGCCTAGGGTTCGGTCTCTTACCTGTCCTGTAGTACTCGGTAGACCGTATCAATAGCCTAGGGTACTGGACTTTTACCTGTCCTGTAGTACTCGGTAGACCATATCAATAGCCTAAGGTACTGGTCTCTTACCTGTCCTGTAGTACTCGGTAGATCGTATCAATAGCCTAGGGTACTGGACTCTTACCTGTCTTGTAGTACTCAGTAGACCGTATCAATAGCCTAGGGTACTGATCTCTTACCTGTCCTGTAGTACTCAGTAGACTATATCAATAGCCTAGGGTTCAGTCACTTACCTGTCCTGTAGTATTCGGTAGACCGTATCAATAGCCTAGGGTATTGGACTCTTACCTGTCTTGTAGTACTCAGTAGACCATATCAATAGCCTAGGGTTCTGGTCACTTTCCGGTCCTGTAGTACTCGGTAGACCGTATCAATAGCCTAGGGTTCTGGTCACTTACCTGTCTTGTAGTACTCAGTAGACCGTATCAATAGCCTAGGGTTTTGGACTCTTACCTGTCCTGTAGTACTCGGTCTACCGTATCGATAGCCTAGGGTTCTGGTCACTTACCTGTCCTCTAGTACTCGGTAGACCATATCAATAGCCTAGGGTTCGGTCACTTACCTGTCCTGTAGTACTCGGTAGACCGTATCAATAGCCTAGGGTATTGGATACTTGCCTGTCTTGTAGTACTCAGTAGACCGTATCAATAGTCTAGGGTACTGGACTCTTACCTGTCCTGTAGTACTCGGTAGACCGTATCAATAGCCTAGGGTTCGGTCACTTACCTGTCCTGTAGTACTCGGTAGACCGTATCAATAGCCTAGGGTACTGATCTCTTACCTGTCCTGTAGTACTCAGTAGACTGTATCAATAGCCTAGGGTTCTGGTCACTTACATGTCCTGTAGTACTCTGTAGACCATATCAATAGCCTATGGTACTAGTCTCTTACCTGTCCTGTACTACTCTGTAGACCGTATCAATAGCCTAGGGTACTGGACTCTTACCTGTCCTGTAGTACTCGGTAGACCATGTCAATAGCCTAGGGTACTGATCTCTTACCTGTAATGTAGTACTCAGTAGACCGTATCAATAGCCTAGGGTTCTGTCTCTTACCTGTCCTGTAGTACTCAGTAGACCATATCAATAGCCTAGGGTTCTGGTCACTTACCTGTCCTGTAGTACTCGGTAGACCGTATCAATAGCCTAGGGTACTAGTCCCTTACCTGTCTTGTAGTACTCAGTATTAATAGCATAGGGTACTGATCTCTTACCTGTCCTGTAGTACTCAGTAGACCGTATCAATAGCCTAGCTAGGGTATTGGACTCTTACCTGTCTTGTAGTATTCGGGAGACTGTATCAATAGCCTAGCCTAGGGTACTGATCTCTTACAAGTTACATGTAATGTAGTACTCGGTAGACCGTATCAATAGCCTAGGGTACTGATCTCTTACCTGTTTTGTAAGTATCGTTTAAGTGACAGAACTGTGTGAACTTTAAATGCAGTATGAATTAAGATTTGTTTTTTAGTAATTATACTGAATACATGTAAATTTATAACTTTACTATTAAGATCTATAGATGCTTTAAGTTTCAATGAATGTAATTAGTTTTTTTTGGACCCAAGAGTTTATTTTCTTTGTAGGTGTATGTCATGTAGCCTCCATTTAAGTAATATTCACAGCAAGTAAATCTTACCTCCGGGTTGCAAACTGAAGTGTCTTTTGTTACTTATCCTCTGTGTGATGAACCGCGATGTTGTGTCCCGCTCTAAATTTTCAATAAACGATTCTAACTCTTGGTACTCATCAAATGTAGCAATGTGCGGCATGATGGCATGGGATTGTTTACATTAGGAAATCATTCAAAATAATTCGGACAAGAACTAGTCGGATTATTTAATTTAAATCGTGTTGTTATTGTTACACAAATAATAATCAAAATATCAACGAATATAGTTTAATTTAAGTAATAAATCTTCTTGAATACAATGACCCGTACATTTTTTTTCAATAGGATATGAGCTCATGATCGAGCTCACAGGCGCCCGTGATCGCGCTGTATTTACTGAAATGAAAACAATACAAAAGAATACATTGTGCAAATTACTTTTCCCTTTTTGTGATCAAAATTTTCCTAGGTCAAGGACTACAATTAGCTTTGTAATAATATGTGTGTATATGAATGAAAAAATTCCGGGAATAAAATGATAGATCGGATTCCTTTTTTTCTTTAGATTCACCTCATAAATATTCATGTATACCTCAGGCTCGTGATATTTAGACACAACCGTTCAGTGGGGATTTTAAATGCGCACTACGCCGTTTTTTTTCTCATGAATAAAAATATCGTCGTTACAGTCCAAAGATAATTGATAGACGTCTGAATCAGTATTTTCTGTTACATTGATAAAAAATGTGGACAAAACCTACTATATCTTTGTGACCATGTACGGGATGTTTTTCACGTGAATCATACTTCTAGAATCTGTAAGTATTTTAATAGTTTGAATAGATAATCAGTGATATATATAATATAAAATTTGCAGCCTAATGCCAGGCAGAGATTTAAACTGGTGAAAAAAATCAATAATAGACCGCCATTTTAAAATTGCGTATAATCATATAGTGCATTTAAAATGAAGCTATATAAGAAAGTATCAACAGAGAAAATCCGTCTACTATTTCTTTCTTGAATCAATCAAAACTTGAGAGACAAATATTTGATACTTTTGACAAATATTAAAATAAACAGTCATAGTATTTGCGGTTTGATAAGTTGAGTCTTTCTAATAATGAGTCTAGAAACCAAATGCTCTTGAATCATTATTGTTCGTTTTAAAGCAAAGTATTGGATTTCGTTGGTTGGCCTTTCCCACAAATTGATATTCCTATGACCAATTTATGTGTCAATAACACATACATGTACTTTAAATTAACGGAATCTTTTGTAAACAGAAGCCACTCTTGAAATTGATTTCTTAAATTTGCTGGTAGATATAATGTTGTTCTGGAATCATTGTTTTCATAGACAACATTTATAGCGCGAGTATGCTAAGGAAGCATGTAAATCATTTCTCGGGAAAGAACTATATGCGGTATATTGCATATATTTGCCACCACAAAAGTCAAATTTTGAAAACTTCCTGAAATGTGCCGAATTCAATAAATTGTATGAGAAATATAAATTAACAGAAAATATTATAGTGTCAAAGCAGTGTATTCGCAATTTTTGTTTTTATGACGTCACAAACTAGTCCGATTTTATATCCTTTTTCAGAAAGAGGACAAAATGGACAAAATTTCAACAATTTTAGCTTTAAAATTTATAGAGCGCAAGTTTGTTCAGGAACAATATTGACATATTTCATTGATATTATCATTCTACACATTATATCAAAATATTGATCCTGACAACACATGCGCTCGGTGACTTTTACTCAAAATATCGACGAAATATCTACATTTTTCTGTAAAATTCATAAAAAACTGGAATTTACGTCATGTTTGTGACGTCATAACGTACATATGGCGTCATTACTTATGAAAATATTCAGTGCTTTGAAGTCAGCATATACTCCCCTGTTTAAGAACTTAATTAGATATATCTCCATCAAATTTTGATTTGGGGGGCAAATATTGGTTATTACCGAATAAAGTTCTTTAGACTTTTTAAAGTTTAATTTTGATAATTTACCAAAACCACGGATCGGATAAACGTAAACTTTTATCAACTATTGCTTAAAGATAACAGAGCGTCTGACGCAATGACGTAAGCCACTTCCACGTCATCAGGTGACTTCTATTAAAAGAAAAATGTTCCTTAATAAAAAAAGCTAACAGAACAACATTCCCCCAGAGTTTAATAACTTCTTTGAGTAAATAATATAGTCCAAAAACATCTATTTGCCTTAAAAGTGCTGCTAGAATCACACTGTCCTGTAAGTAAAATGATGATAACACACATTCATACGAACCCTTACCCTACGTTTTGTATTTTACACATCTCATATGAACCAAGAATTTTCGTAATAATGCTTAACTCAGGATTCTAGCAGCACTTTCAAAGTATTTTAGAAGGCGAACTTTCCATCTGTATAAATCTTATGTTTCGAAATATACATCTTATTGTTGTTTGGCATTATTTTTGTCACGAGTGATCGGGGAAAGGCCGAATGGAATATGGATATAACTGACTGTCTTCGAAAGAGAATTATCATACCTGTTTATTTAACTGAACTCCATATGCATTTCACATAATATTCCCGATATTTGCTTTTAAACTCCATTTTATGTATCTTTGTACATGCCGTCATCCAAAATCTCTTTACATGACTTGATCAATTCCGAAGTTACCTCATGTACACGTTTGACGTCATCGCTGTTAGATTTTAATCAAATTGACAGATACAGCATAACAAAATAAAAACATCTTATTTTTGTTAATCTTTGAGTTTCAATTTATTTCCTAGAGTTAAATTACATCTCTAAATAACAATATAACGAAAACATGTGTTCTAAAATTGACGTCATCTCGCCTTCTATGATGTCATAATGTTTCACTGACTTAGACTAGGTAGAATATTCTGTATGCTTTCTTATCACCCCTGCGTGGACATCAAGTCTCCTCGTTACCCTGCGCCATTGGTATAGACATATATGTATCAGGTTCCATTTTGATCGATCCAAATTTAATTTTATTGGTTGATCTATTCAACTTTGTTGAACGTTCATGAGCTGGAATGGAATGGACTTCACTATGACAGATGACAAAGATCTTCTAAGACAGAACATTTTCTGATTCTATTCCAGTTAATGATCCATAATCTGAAATAATATTGTCTGTTCGTTTTACTTATAATTAAAAGATTGAAAAAAAAACAGAAGAAATTAATGAATTTCAAAAATAATCACTTTAATACTAATAACGGTTCAATTATAGAAATAAAAATATAAATTACTATGGATTAAATTTGATAATGCATTTATATATACTTGATTGATGAAAAAGCACACCTTAAGATTATTCATTTATATATTTATTCATAATCTGAATCTCTCTTTATTACATTAGATAAAAATAAGACCACTTCATTCACAGAAAATATTCCCAGGCCCTCATTAAAACCAGTCAATCTAATTTAAATCTATCCACATTTTTCTAATATATCATTTCATTTGGTGATTAAAAAATAAATATATAACTGTTAGAAAAGCTCACCTGTGTTGATTAGGTCTTCATTTTTACTAGTGATGGTTGTCTTTATCCCCCATTAAAGGTTACTTCAAAATTAAAAAAAATAATTCATACACTGTAATGAATAATGGAAATAGATCCTGTAAAATCCTTCGAATTAATGTCCACCACGAAATGCAGTTTTACACACATATAACTAATGATTAATTCTTCAATCACGAAATCAAATCTCCTTCACCCAAAATACTTTCTTCAAACCACGAAGATTTGACACCTTGAAAATATGTGATTTTACAGTAACACTAAAACTTACATGTACAAACTAAACATGTTTCTAATTTGAGAGAACCAAAATTTACCTCTGTCAGAGAAGGGCAATCAACTACGCTCACGCAGCATTGTTAAGGCTTGAAAAGGGGGGGGGGTCTAATTTTTACGGGGAAAATTTACTGTGACGTCACATAAAAATATGACTTTTATGTATTTCTCAGAATACCTGATTATGAAATAATTTGCAACCTTTAACTATATTAGCATAATAAACTATTATAAAACTTATCAATGCATTAAAAAACTTGCAAGTTAAATCCCATATAGCTGGTTATAAACAAAGCACTGATATCGATGAACTTGTCAATCATGACGTCATCTTGGTAAAAATGACGTATTTCATGTGCTGTGAGAGCAGATTGAGGAATATTTTAACAATGAAAAATGCGTTTTATTATAAAACGGAATATAATTTACAGGTTTTAAATAGTCGATTAATATCAATGTATATTCTTTGTTTAGTGCGATTATTCATACACTATCGAAAGAATGTATTTTATTAATTATATCGTGTTTTTATGTACAGGTTACGTACGCTTTACAATGATATGCCTCATAAAATCGTACTTTCGCAAGGGCAAACACTTAACAGATCTTAACCATTTTTTGAATATAGATAGAGGATATTTTCCTTAACTTGAAAAGTGCTGCTGCTTTCTTTAAATCGAGGGCGTGATTTTATAAATACACAAAATATTTGGTAAAAGTCAAACATATTTCGACATTGGCTTATTTCCCTGAAATTTTAACTTCTAAAACGCGAATTCTATTTAAAGTAGCAGCATTTTTCAGAAACTACAAAGTATGTAGAAACAATCAATAGCTTGAATTTTTAATTTCCACTAGGGTATGCCCTTGCGATATTGAAATTTGTTCATGACATACATTCAGTACACGAACTAAGCATTCGTCTCGTGACTGTCCATCGATGGGCCAAACTTCATACAGTATAGAGTGGGTTATACTATGCTATTTCCATAAGTATTTAAGTTCTGTGATAATGAACAGCATAATTAAAATAAATTAATTTTAAAAAAACACCCCTTTTTTGCACGTCTATTTTACGTTGATTTCTCATAGTAGGCCTTAACAGTGCTGCGTAGAAATCAGTAAAACTAATTAGAGCAAAGCTCGTTGCCAAGCAACGAGTAGGTTTTCCGTACTGTTTGACCGCAAGTAACTTTTATTTTAAAAAAGAGTGAATTGACGTCTCTAATGATATAGTTCCTTCAAATCTCTGTTGAAAATTGCAAAAGTAAACCATATTTGCTACCTCCTGTTCGACCGGAAGTGACTTGACGGACGGAAATATTTCCCAAAAACGTGTAAAGATGGCAAATATATGCATTTCTGACTTCTTCCGGTTTGGCCGGAAGTGACATTTCAGGACGTATTTTGATGATCTCAATAGATTCTACAAGAGATTTGAACAACTTTGATTATTTGATGTATAACAAATTTTCAATACTTTTTGAGATATTTGGGAGAAAAAAAATCGGCCCCTGTAGATCCCGGAATTAAGGGGAAGCCCTTTTTCTGAGATATCATTTTAAAGATCTTGTAATTCTGCAAAAATTTTGTTCTATATATCTTAACAAATTATTTTTAGTTTAGAAAATAAAAAGCAAAATATGTGTAAATTTTTGCTCTTTTAGGGATTCTAATTTTTGACCCCTTTATTACGCCATTTTGAATAGAGAAATCGAAAAATAAACGATGTACACAACTTCAATCCTTCTTTTTTCTAAAACCAGTAGAATTTCTGCCCCAGCTTTTGTCGTCTCCGAGCCTTTGTCTGGAAATAAAAGCCTATAAATCTTCTTTTAATGAAAAATAACTCAAAAGCGGAAGTGAATTTTTGAAATGTTAGACAACATTCTGATAGAGTTTAGTAACGTCTATAAACTTTAGCGAAATTCCTTTAGAAATGAGTGAGATACGAGGCTTCAAAATTGGCGTCTAGGAAGAAGAAGAAAAAAAAGAATAATCTTTCCAACAGAATCAGCAGAAAGTCATCCGTTGGAAACGGAAGACCTTAATTAATCGATGCTGAAAGATATACAGCTAGTGTATACATGTATAAGTAAACTTAACAGAAAGTGATAGAGTCAAGAAAATCCATGTGCAGCATATAGAAATTCACTTTGTATGGTTTAACTTTTTAGAACTATTAACATTCATATGTTTTAATTAATATTGCATTCAAGATTGAAGTATTTGATTACACTGATAAAAATGATTTAAGTCTACACCTTCTTTTTTCTGTTCTGTTTCATAAAGATGGTGGACATACATTGCCTGAAGCATTAAAGAAAGCAATAGATTGTTAAAAAAGAATAGATTTTTGCTTACCTGGAATAACAACTTATTCTGAAAATTAGTCGCACAAATACCCTGATCTATTAATATATTCATCACTGTTTATGTCCGTAATGAGTTAGGTCATTAAGTAATGGAAATACAAAAATATAATTATAAAAATTAACAATAAATTTTATCCATGGAAAAAATCACTCCATAATTACAATATATCTATCAGCTGTTTAGAAAAAAATAGGAGTCCGATTACAGTACATTGCTTGTCCATCTTTGAACTTGTATTCAGTAAAATAAATATGCATCAGGGTTAATAATTGAAGGTGGCGTAAGAATACTTAACAAGTTTCTATGTAGCGTTCAAAAAGAAAGTGTAAAATTTCTTCTTAATTGTTGTACCAAAATATCTAAAAATAATGAAAAGAGTATACATTTGTTTAATATATAGCATTGTTATTTTTTTTTCCTGTTCGTGTCCCAATATTTATGACAGTGTGATAAATGTGCAGAATTTTGCAATTTCTTTGTAGTAATTGCCTTGTAAATTCATGAAAAATATGAACTTTTGACTTGAAATCCAGTGTTAATGTCTGCTTACATTCAGCTGCATTTATCCAGAATCTGGGACTGGTCAAAGATGACCTAATGCTTGTGACACTGTTGTTAAAGCACTTACTCTTTAATACCAAAGTAGGTAAAGAAGTTGAACCTTGCAGGATCGAATCCCACGGCAGGGATTGGAGACCAGTCGAGTGAGACTGTATAAGCCGAAATCCTCATAAGTCATTAGTGTTGAAACCAGGTCTAAAGTTGCAGCCTTCCACTGGCAAGTGGTGGCAATTCAATATGAGTGCAAAAATTATCAAAGGGATGCTGAACAAACAAGCGAACAGATTAGAATCTTTCATCTTTCCATAAACTGTGTATGAAGTAGAATAGTTTTGGTCAATCATTTCTGCCGAAAAACAATTTTATATTAAGTTTAGTTTGACAAGTACACTTTATCAAAATTGTATCAATGTTTACTTTAAACTGCAGAGATCCCGATTGTTATATACAAAACCAATACTTAACCTTCTGTTTCCATGGAAAAGATGTTGGGGATTTACTTATTTTTTTAAGTTCATCGTAATGTAAATGATCTAGTTAACAAAATCTTGGACTTTTTATAAATCGGCAGATATGGAAAGTGGTGACTTTTACTTGTTTGTTGCCGAACAACGGTACGTCTGCCTTTATAAAGGACAATTGAAAAACACTCCTTTTAACCAAAATCTTTACATTTGAAGGTCAAGATCTAGTAAATGACTTTAGACTAACTTTTTGCTGATAGATCAAGTATGACGTCATACCGTAAATCTGGAAATTTTCACGTCGATTTTATTTTGCGAATCTGGGTCAAAATGTTTTTGATTAATTTTTATGTTTCAAAAGAACTACAAACGATAGTATTGTTCTCCCGCCTACCTCTAAGTCAATTCTCAAAAATTAACATACTCAAATGATTTTCAAAATGTTTATTGATATTTATATAAGTTTTCATAAAACGTTACTTATTTGGGATATCAAAGAGAGATCACTCTATAATTTTGGTAAAACTTTTGTTTTTCACTATAGAAATCAATGGAAAACGGAAAATATTTTTAAAATATCTTTCCCCCCGTGAAACAAAAATTCCTTTTTACAGGTAATATGGACTGTCATTTTACAAATTTATTTCAAAGCTTTTTGTGTTTCACGGGGGGGGGGGGGGGACATATGTTTATAGACAAAAAACGAAAAGAATGATGGTTTTTCATCAATTTTAAAGCTATTTACAACTAAATAATTGTATTTCATTAATTTATATATATTTTACTTATTTGCATAACACATAAGAAAAGATATGAGATACATTTTATCATATTTAAGACTATTTCAAAATATGGTGACTCTTGAAAGTTCGATGTCAATAGAAAATATCTTCAACCCCTTTTTTTCAAGAGCTGGAATTCAGGAAAATTTACTACCTAGCGCTGGAATTAAAATGACTAATCAATTACCATTGAACTGTTCTTTGTATTAAAGTTTTAATGGCCAAATTGCCATTAATTTTGAATATAATGGGTGCAAAATGTAGCCGGGAATCAAGAGTTAGAGTTCGTAGTTCTTTTGCGAATGACCATTGCTTTGTTTACATTTTCGTATTGTTGAATTATTTTTAAGAAAAAATATTTTTGCGAATGCAATGAACTCGCAAATTTGCTAAAAATTTATCTACAGCAAAAATTTCCAGATTTACAGTAATCACTTTAAAATTTCCTTTCCCATACTTTATACATCTAATTGAATTGTGTACATGTAGGGAATAAGATATTATCATGGAATACAAATTGAAATCAAAGAAAAATAATCCCAATACCTGTATCAGTTTTGATAGCATTTTAAGGAAGAAACTAAAAACATTTATGGTACCAGTTTTTGAGAGACTGCAGGCTATATAAATACGTTTTCCTTTTCTGATTCTGAAAAAAAAATTCTCATATTCCTAACTGGTTTTCTTCATTTATCATTTAGAATGACAGTTTCAGATATGATTTTTCATATTATTCATCCACATATATTGCCCCGATACTCCTTATTTTACCGAGTTTATCTTATAAAGCATCATTAAAGGAATTTATTTCTCAATTTGATAAATTTGTGGGCACAGTTCATATGCTAGATATAAACCTTAAATAACGGAAATAATTGTTAAAGATAGATTAATAATAAATTATGATAAATCATGCTATTTTCATTATATGGTAGTTTTTAAAATGTATCGCTTTTAGAATTGAAAAAAAAATTCAGCATGTAAATCGGCAAATACCTCAAATTTGCCGTCTATTACTAAAAAACACGGGGCGGACATTATTTTTTTAAACCCTGTTAAAAGAAAAAGCTAATCTTCCCAAATGAATAGATATATGACATATGCACAAACGAAAGCACGTAAAATTTAGAGAGTAGCAAACCTTACCTTATAAGGAAAAAAAAAGAGACGACAATTTCCGTTTATACTTAATTTTACCGATAGACCCGCTTCTTATCCATACTGATGATTTTTACCCAAAAACCACTCTGTGCACATGTCATATGAAGGATGCAGAGACTAATGCTTCGTTGTTTCAATTTTGATTCATAAAAGCAGGGCTTTTCTTTTGTACAATTTTTTTATCTATTATAGTAATGTATACATAGCTTTTTCTATGTAAATTATTCTGGATTCATGTCATTTATAGCTTGGTGGAGGAATTGCAAAAAATGCAAAAAAGGCGTAAAGTCCATTTATTCTTTGTAATAAATTTATTTATTAAATTAATTCTATTTACATATTTTACTCTGACAGAAAAGCACATTTATTTTATACAAAATGACAAAAATGATCAAAAGATTAATAAATAAATTGTAAGATATTAATTACTGATAAAATAAATAAATTGTTGAATTTTCATTGCAGGGTGTTTTTAAACTGTAAAATACCAACAAATGGCTTCTGGACCTGCCCCTGGTGACCGTTCCAGGTTTGCCAAACTAGGTATGGCAATTAACGAAGAATTGACCCAGGCCTGTAGAGATGTCTTAGAAATGGAGGTACCTCCTGGTCTTGTCTACAACAAAGTGAAGTCATCATCGATTTATAAGAAAATACGCCCCGAGCAAGAACTTTACCTCTTAGGCGCAAAAACAGATGGTTATAAAGAATTTGATATTACATTGTTATATACACTGATAAGAAACATATGCACAAAGGTTCCACTTCCAACAAAGGGTTGGGGTGGAAACACGATGCCGTCAGTCGGAGAAACAACGATCGGCGACGACATTGAGAGGATCAGGATGATAAGAAACAAAATGTCTGGACACATCAGCTCGGCTTCTATCCCACAGTCAGATTTTGATGACACGTGGTCTCTCATAATTGATATCTGCCAAAGACTGCAAACGTACACAAAGAAGGACTACATGTCTGGACTGAGTAATATTCAAAGTCAGGCCTTGGAAGAGGAGTACGAATTAACAGTCATAGAAAAACTTAAAGAGGATTATAAGAATAACCAATGTGTGATGGAAAAGATATCTTCTTTAGAACAGGATATGCTAGAACTGAAAACGAAATCCGAAAATAAAGGTGATTAAAAAATATTACTTATAATATTTACAGTGTTCGATACATGGCGGAGATTAGAAGTTCATGCAAACGTAAATTTGATAAATACATTTCTAATTATCAGCATTTTCGAAAATATTTCCTAAAAATTCTTTGCAAAAAAAACAAATGTGGCTAGGGCAGAATATATCCATTATTACACTTTTTTTATTTTAAAAGTACACATCTGTTACAGAGAACCCACTGGTAAAAGAAATTCTTGACAACTGGAAAGAAGATGACATTGCCTTCATTCCTACAAGAGCAAGTGAAGTGGTTGAGGAAAAGCTTAAACGTCATAACCTAATCACTGTGGTTGGAAATTCTGGCTCCGGAAAATCTGCAATAATTCAACATATTGCACTCATAATGAAAGAGCGGGGATGGAATGTCATGCCGGTGGATAAGGTGAAAGAGATTAAAAAGATATGTTCTTCCAAAGTCTCAGATCGTATATTATTTGTATTCAATGATCCTTTGGGTAAGGAATCTTTAGATGAAATTTTATATCATTCATGGAAAAGTTTAGAGAAAACGCTGGAGATTTGCTTGAAGAAAAATAAATTATTGATATCATGTAGAAGATGCGTATTTTATGACAAGAGAGTCAAGGGTAATTTATTGGACGAATCCACTGCAATAGAAATTGACAACAAAACAAATGGACTGACTGTTAAAGAGAAAAAAGCGATTTTTAATAAGTATTCACAGGATCTGGATTTATCCAAAGACGTTGTTTCCGAAATAATCAAAACAGAAGCTTACTTCCCATTGCTTTGTAAGCTCTTTTCAAGGGAGGCAAACTACAAAGAAAAAGGGGTTAATTTCTTTAAACATCCGTACAGATTTATTAAAAAGGAAATTGAAGTTTGGAAGAAAACAGACAAGAAAAAATTTTGCTCTCTTATCTTGTTAGTAGCTTTTAAAAACAAGTTGAAAATAGAAAGTATCTTAAAAGATGGTATTTCTGTGATGAAATTTAAGGACATTTTAGGAATGTGTGAGCTACAAGAGAACACACACATTTCAGTCATTCGTAGTACTCTACATGAACTGAGAGGATCTTATGTCAAACGTGTCGGAAATGCCTTCCAATTTCTTCACGACTTTATAATGGAAATAACGACTCTGGTGTTTGGAGTTGATTGTCCACAAGAGACGATACGATACGCTGACAGTGGTTTTCTTAGACGTCGGATGAAGATTGAAGACGATACAAAAGAGGAAGATCGTGATCCCTTCACTGTTTACCTTCCTGAAGAGTACACTGGCGATCTGGTGGACAGGTTTATTATTGACATGCAAACAGAACACCTTGTAGATGTTCTACTCAATCCATGTTTAAGGGAAGAAAATGTTATCAAATCTTTTAAAGAAAAGATGGACTCGCCGAGAAAGCTTCTTGTAAAAATTAAATGTGAGAAAGACAAATCGGAATTTAAAGAATCATTTGGAAGTGTTGTTTTCTCAAGACTTGATTTCCTTTATTTGCAAGATGAAATATGTCCTTTGGTCGGACTAATCGTATTTTGTCATAATGAAATTTCTTCATTTTTCTTAAAAGGTATCCCTGAAATAAAGTTGATGGAATACCCTATATTCTCTGCTCTGTGTGCAAATGGCAATTTAAACTTAATGAATTATCTCTGCAATGAATATAAACGAGCAGTAATGATTGAATCATGGGGCGAAATGTTACCAATTCATGTTGCTTCAATATTCCATAATTTTTTAATTATTGGGGAATTGGTACGACTCGGTGCAGACGTAAGCAAGTTCATCAGTAACGACTGGAATGCATTACTATTAGCTGCTATGAATGACGAAAAACACTTGAAGGAAGCTGGAATAAAAACGGACACAAGTGAGGGAGAAAGACGGAATGCATCCATTATTTGCTTAATGAAAAATGATGCCGACATAAATTTATGTAATAATGATGGAGTCAGTCCTCTTTATATAGCTTGTCAAAATGGACATGATAGCACGCTACAACTATTACTGAACAACGGTGCCGACATCAATTTGTGTACCAACGATGGAACCAGTCCTCTTTATACAGGTTGTTATGCAGGACATGAAAGAACAGTACAGTTGTTACTGAACAACGGTGCCGACATCAATTTATGTAAAAAGAATGGAAGAACTCCCCTTTTGATAGCTTGTATTAATAGACATGATAGCATAGTGCAACTGTTACTGAACAACGGTGCTGACATCAATTTATGTGAGAAGAATGGAAACAGTCCTCTTTATTTTGCTTGTTATGAAGGACATGGAATCACGGTACAATTGTTACTGAACAACGGTGCCGACATCAATTTATGTAATAAGAATGGAAACAGTCCCCTTTATATAGCTTGTCAAAATAGACATGATAGCACGGTGCAGATGTTACTGAACAATGGTGCTGATATCAATTTATGTAGCAAAATAGGTGCAAGTCCACTTCTAATAGCTTGTCAAAATGGACATGATAGCACGGTACAACTGTTACTGAACAACGGTGCCGACATAAATTTATGTGAGAAGAATGGAATAACTCCTCTTCTAATAGCTTGTCATGAAGGACATGAAAGCGCCGTTCAATTGTTACTGAACAACAGTGCCGACATAAATTTATGTAGCAAAAAAGGTGCAAGTCCTCTTTATATAGCTAGTCAAAATGGACATGATAACACGGTGCTACTGTTACTGAAAAAAGGTGCCGATATCAATTTATGTGAAAAGAATGGAAACAGTCCTCTTTACATAGCTTGTTATAAAGGACATGAAAGAAAAGTAAATTTGTTACTGAACAACGGTGCAGACGTCAATTTATGTAACAAGAATGGAACAAGTCCCCTTTTGATAGCTTGTGTTAATAGACATGATAGCATATTGCAACTCTTACTGAACAACGGTGCTGACATCAATTTATGTGAGAAGAATGGAAACAGTCCCCTTTTAGTAGCTTGTCATAAAGGACATGATAGCACAGTGCAGATGTTACTGAACAATGGTGCCAACATCAATTTATGTAACAAAAAAGATGTAAGTCCTCTTTATATAGCTTGTCAAAATGGACATGATAGCACGGTACAACTGTTACTGAACAACGTTGCCGACATCAATTCGTGTAATAAGAATGGAACCAGTCCTCTTCATATAGCTCGTCAGAATGGACATGCAAGAACGGTACAACTCTTAATGAACAATGGTGCCGACGTCAGTTAATGTTTAATTACTGGGATCATTTCCTCTGCACATTGCCTTTTTTGATAGTTAAATATAGGACTTGACAATACAATGGCGCCTCATGATATGTGGACTCAAGTTTGCCATATTTCTTTTCTTCAAGAATTTCGTCTTTCCGTTGACTACTTCTTTGAAAATTCGGGTAATTTCTAACTAAATCGCCGTATGAAAAAATAAAGACTTTTAAAATTTGAAATATGTAACATGTCATACATGCAATTGTGTGCTTTCTAGTACATTGTTGGTAAATATATAATCTTGCGTTTGATTTAATAATATTTCTGGACAAAATTAAATGCTTTTTGTGAATTTATTTCTTTCAAAATATTTTATTTGCATGTTTTTAGTTTCATTGTAATAGTAAATGCAATAACACGGTGCCCTGTTGTCCTTGTGCTACTGCAACTAAAATGTGGTTTTGGAGAAATCAGACTGTTCGATAAATACACAACAAACTTGACACGAAATCACTTTTATTTCGGTCCCTAATGCCCCCAGTCCCTAGGAGAATGAGCCTGCAAGGAGGAATGATCAGAGTTATATCATACAGTATTGCATTTACATAATGTAATTGGAAAGCTTTTTTTTTTAGAAATGACTCAACGTTCACTCAATAGATAAAAAAATGATTTTAGAATATTGTTATCTGAATTTTTAGGATTTTTTTCTTTGGCAAATTATTTTTTTTAAAAATACACATTTCATATAATATTTTCAATGTACCTCAAGCAGCCAGATTCTATGAAATTCTGTACAAGAAAGAAGGTTGTACTGTCAGGCTTTCCCAGATATTATATTGTCACCAAGAACCGACTAATTATATATGTCAAGGATTCAACAAGGCAATAAGCTGGTGCAAATGCGCGTTTGGATGACTTGTATTGCCTTTGATACCCGTGAATTGGCACAGAGATGTGAATATTTTTGTGGTTATATATTTGATATATTAAACAACTTTTTTCGTAGTTTGTAAAGATATTTTTCATGTGTTTAAAAGTTTGTTGTCAGTATTGACAGAGGATCTTCTGGCTTTTAGGTTTGTTGTACATTTAGGTCACATAGTATTTTGCATATGTCATCAAATTATGCTCCGAAATTAAGACCCTAATAAGTTCGGATGAGACTGTATAAGCCGATGTTCCGTATCACGGTAGCTGCTGACATGAAAAATTCCTCCCTGTTCAATAACACAGAGTGATGTGTGTACGACTTAATTTGCAGCTCTCAGTCGGCAAGTCGGAGCATCACCATGTGAATCAAAAATCTCCAGAAGGACTTTAGACATATCGATAAATCATTAATATCATTCCATTCACTTTGTGATTCGGCATAATTCGGTATGCGATTCGGTATAAAAACACAATAAGCGTTTGTCTGCACATTAAATCTTTAAGAGGGTTGTCCGTAAAGTTCGCGGACAACCTATAATTTTAAAGAACGTAGAGTCATCGAAATTTTTCATTAGCAAATTCATTACCCTTTTAAAATATGAATTGCAAAATTTAAAATTTTATTCAATTTAAAATATATAACTAAATTTATGACTTATTATCAGACTTATGATGGTGGCCTGGAGCAAGGTAAAATTTTAATTAAAAAAATAATTATCACTGCATACATTTTAATTGTATTTTGTAAAATTCCGCGGATTGAACATTATATATTTATAAGATTGTGGTCTATATCAAGATGTTGTCAATGAAGACTTTAAGGAAAAAGACCTTCATCCTCGAAGTCTTTGGGCAACACTTGTACATAAGAAAGATCACACATATAATTAGGAAAACATATCTCTATAGTATTGGTCCCTTACCTTCGAAATTATCGTCCACCTTTCAATTTTCTGTGCCATATCTACATGTATCTACAACTGTATTCCTTTGTTTTAGGACATTTTTAACTTGACAGGTACATTACTCGACGTATTGTCAATTAACAATATGGTTATTTCAATTCTTATGTCGATACGATACGATATATCCTGGTTAGTTTGAGATTGTAGACACCAAAGAGACCGACACTCTAGCTGTTCCAAATATGACTATTTTACTTGAAAAAGACGGTAATTGTAATCTTACTGTAAAAATAAAGATTTCAAACTACTTTCAAACTTCTAAATCAATATAATGCTTAATTTGATATCACGTTCCAATCTCTGTCAACAACTAGGGATCTGAATCCCATCCAAACAAGGATGACGAATCCAAGTAGAAATAAGTGCGCTGCTTTTCGATGCCGATACCACCTCATTTCAATGGAACTTTACTCCAAGGGAGATAATTATATTCTGCAATTGAATTCATAATTTTAAATTTCTTTATTTTTTTAACATCATTGTATATTTGGACAAATGAACGTTATCATGGCCTTTGATAACCACGCAAGACATCATTATAATTAGTTTTAAAATGAAACGTTCATCATATGCAACTACGTTTGCACCCCATTTTAGTATCTTCAGGTTTAATTATTTTCTTTGAAATAAAAAATCTTAATTTTAAAACATTTTCTATATTTGCACTATAGTTTGTTATGCTCTAGACCATTAATTCCTTACCTTCCATCTAAAGCTGATTTTGAGATTTCCTGAGATTTGCATGCAATACGTTTGGATGAAATGCATTATATCCAGAAGAAAACAATTTCACATTGATAATCATTTATCCTTTCTATTTCTCAAAATTCTCCATATTGAAAGAAAAAAAACATTCAAATAAGGATTTCAAAACTACTCCATCAATATAATTTTTAGAAGAATAGGATTTATTTTAAATTCTAATGTAAAGTGTATATATTTTATGTTACATTAATTCTACTTTATTTCATTTCTAATTTGGAAATAAATATTTACAATTTATTCTTAATTTTAAATTTAAGTTTTGGCCATAAAAAATCCATTTAACATGCTATGTCTATCGCTCATTTTTTTCTTCTAATTATTTCTTTTTTGAATTCACCGCTTAGTGGAAAATGATTTTTTGTTAAAAATAATTCGTGCAATAAATTAATCGACATAATCATAGAAACATAAAGCATTAAGCATGTGGCCAAAAACTATCAGACTGGCAGACCTTTAATTTTTTTTCCTAATTTCGGATCCTAAGTAATAAATGAATAATAAATTATTCATTTTTCATAAATGTCTTACATGTTCAGGAAATATGTTGTCAAAAGAAAGGTCTTTCTTGATAATAATTATGTGTTTTGCCTCAAGTCTACATGTTTGCGCAATCATAAAATATTGATAACAACTGATCATACAGCATATACATGGTAATATATATGATAGCATTAACATATTTTTGTTCGCATGTTTCGTAGTTCGTATCTTTTAAATTCATTTCTCTAATTTGTCTAAATAAAAAAATCTTTAAACTGTCAAATAAAACGAATCTGTAATTACATATCATACTGGCATTATAATAAAAGGATTAACAGAAAATTAAATTAATCATTGTATCAAACTTACCGGGGTACTTCTCGCGGCGTTGAAAAGAAATGATGCACCTAAATGTATCTAAGAAACTGATCGAACCTTTTTCGACAACATACCTGATATCTGTATATCATAATACCTATCTAATTATTACAGTCTGCCTGTCAAAACACCCTCATGGCGCATTGGCTAGAGGGTCTGCTCTAGAGTCGCGAAATAAGGAGTTGATTCTTTCGTTGCGGGTTAGAATCCCACTGTGGGATGTTGAGACAGGTATTTTGGATGAGACCGTATAAATCGAGGTCCCGTGTCGCAGTAGGTGCTGGCACGAAAAAGATCCCTCACTGCTCAATGGCCCTGATTGCCGAAAATAAGACAAAATTTTCATATTTATTTTTGTGTCAACATTAGACATGTTAATATGAAACATTGAATTTGTCATTCATACTAATGTATATGTTGAATTCATATCTGGCTGCTATAATCTAAGTTCATCTAAATTATAAATGACAAAACTGTAAGCACTATTACAGAGTACTGTTATTATATAGTTGATATGGATTAAAGTCCTGAATTTATATTATTTTTTATTTTACTTCTGCTTTTTTTCATGATATTGATATTACAATTAACATACCAGGGTAAGTTTTCAAGATACCGGTATATGTGATTTTTTTTTCATGATATCCGTCTAATAATAATCACATTTACTATGATTATTAGTATGTGACTGTAAATGGAATAAATCATAAGACAGTTTAAATAGTTTAGAATCTGTTCATATTTTGTTAATGTAAAGATAAAAACATACTAGGCTGTTGAAAATTGGAAAGATTATAAGGATGACTTAGGAATAACAAATGTTTGATTGTAATTGAACGTCCCTCTCAAGAACTTTTTAATCGTTTGGAGACGCCTCCACTTGACGACAGAGAACTGCACATTTTTTTTTCCCTATGCTAAGCACCAAAAGTGAAGTATCTTTTTCGTGTTAGCATCAACTACAAAATGGGACTTCAGTTTAATCGGTCTCATCCAAAAGACCAACTTCTTTATTCTACAGTGAGATTCAAACTCGCGACGTAATTAAGGATCAACTCCTTACTCCGTGTTTTTCTAAAGCAGATATTCTTACCACTGCGCCACAAGAGCGACTTAAATAAAAATTGAATATAAACTTAATAATGTAAGAAGTTAATATTCCAAATACCGGTATATTACGGTTACGAGACTTGATGAGGAAGTTGAAGATGATCGTGAAAATTATGAAGATGAGTATTGACTAAATTTTGATATTATTTTTATGCTGAGCTTTAGATTATCAGCTGTTTTTTTTAATATAAATTCTCTTTTAATGTCATATTTAAAATTTAATACATCGATCTGAAATATTACTCAAAATATTGTCTTTGAAAAGGAAAAAGAATCAACTTCTCTGAGTGAAAGAAATCTTTGGTTACTACTGTAAATTGAACCCACGATCCAAATTGATAATTGTTTAACTCAGATCATTATTCTTTCCAGTCTGGATATTGATATTACACAGCAATTATCTGATATGATGTATTTTGTTTTGCGATTCGCTGGCTAAGATTTTAGAATAAACATAGAATCAGTGCTTTAAAAGATACATTATCTGTACAGTTATCTATGAATACTTAGATTAATTAATACCATGTATGTATGGTTATTGTTGGTTTTGAATTCAGTTAGAAATAAAAATAACGAACAGTAACCAAGCAAAAAAATGAAACAATAAAAATCAGGATCAGCGCAATCACGAATTATTGAAAATTGGAAGTGGGATCAAGTGCCATGGAGGAGCAAGCATCCCCAATCGTCTGGACACCCTTACCCCTATGCTTCTTTCTCTCATGGCCACTCAAATGGTAAAATCCGTAGACAATGCATTGTGTTAACCATGACCTAGCAATTAATCTGGAAAAGTCAGTCAGCATGCGACTTAATGAGAGATAGTATTTGCTGACAAGGTCATTATTACACCACAGAAGAAGAGTTGGCTGCAATGAAAGATCCAGTTTTAACATATGTTCCGTATATCGTATCCAGTTCCTTGTAAGGGGTGGTTTGATTTGACGACTGAATTTGTAGCAAGTTGCGTGTGTGTGTTTTACTTAATCTTTTGAATGCTTCATGAAGAGTAGGTTTTCCACTGTTTAAAGGGGAATGTTAGATGTAAAATTGTTAAATAAAATGAAGACAAGGCAAGACATATTTTTATTTAAATACAATCAAATACGGTACATCCATTGAAATATTAAAAAAAAATTAAATACAACCATTGAAATTATAATGATATAATTACATTATATTTCAAAGTCCAATGTGGGTAGAAAAATATGTCAAAAGTAAAAGTTCTTTAAAAACTTGTAAGATTATCTACTAAGATGCCTTTGCACTATCATGTCTTGTGTTAATGTTTATTACAAGGAATTGAATCTTCTAGGTCGGCTTTGGACTCACACACAGAGCTAAGACGGTGTTCTACCATATCGCTAATATAATTGTGTGATCCAAATTTGCAATTTGAGTTACTTTGTGGCATGCCCAACACTATGTTTCATCCTTAGTTAATAGATTGGAAGCAACCAAAATGCAAAAAAAAAAAATTACTAGACAAGAAACGTCTGTGCTGTCCTTTATACAGAGCAACATTATGAAATGAGTTTAAAGACAGTTTAGAGAAATGCACCGATTTCACACATATTCCTCCACCAACCACGTCCGAGGCTTGTATGGAGTCAACCAAAAATTGCTGATTGCATTGCAATAGGTGATGTACATCTTACTTATTTAGGTGACCTACAGGTACACTAGATCTTAT